CTATATGTCTATCTATTACATCTATTACATCTATATCTATAGCTATATGTCTATCTATTACATCTATTACATCTATATCTATAGCTATATGTCTATCTATTACATCTATTACATCTATATCTATAGCTATAAGCCGACCTATTACATAAAACCCCAGAAGCCTCAGTCCACAAGACCCCCGGCTCTGTAAAAAGCCCCAGCACACAGCGCTGACATTCCTGTATTAAAACCAGTCCTGGCACATTTTCCTTTTTCATTTTTCAAATTCTAGAAACATCTATCCACTTCAGGCGCCATTACCCCACCAGGTCCTCGCTGACCTAGGAATCCGCGTCCATCGACCCTGTGGAGGTTATTTATCCCCTCCTCCTTGCTGCCTATAATTATGCTCATTACATCCACACATTATTCTGATCTTTCAGTTACATGACACTGCTGACAGGCATGTACTATAGGAAAAAAAGGGAAACTTATTTATTATGCATAACTTGTACTACAGATACTTTTAGCATGCATCACATTCTGTTTTTGTGAGATATGGTGTGTGATAAGATGTACAAAGCAATTGTCACAAGTTGACCGTCACAAGTAACCAGTAACTGTCAGAAGTGTACAGCAACTTTTATATTACGTTGGTCAACTGTTCGGATGTGTTAAGTCCAAAAGTTGGAAAATTTGTCTTATTCTGTAGAATCTGTGGCACATACATTAATCATGGATCATGGAATTATTGGACTGAAATTCAAATTTTAAATGTTGAAAAGCACAACCCATCCCCCTGAATTACTACCTCAATAGGATCCGCAAGGATACCCCACCCGACTGCCCGCTGTGCGACTGCCAGGAGAAAACAGTACCACACCACCTCTTTAACTGCCCAGCACTTTGTGACCTGCGTAGCACCTACCTACCTACCTGCCTCCCCAGACATCGGAAATACTCTATACAGCGACAAAACACAGCTGATAAAAACCTGTAACTTCTTTGCCATATCGACAGGCCGAAGGGTTAGAACCCAGACGGCCGCTGGATCAGAAAAGTAAAAGTCAAGTGAAGTAAGCGTGGAAGAGAGGAAGAGAAGCGGCGTGGTACGTACTTGTCCTCAAACTTCTGCACCAGCCCTGTGGTGACGAAGTACGGGCACAGGGCAGAGACGTGGATACCTTTGTGGCCGGCCAGAACCAGTTCCTCCCTCAGCGACTCGCAGAAGCCCAAGGCCGCGTACTTGGACGCGCTGCCACAAGAAAAAACACAAAAATGTGAGGGTTTTTATTGTTATTATTATTTGTTGGTGTTTTTAAAAAAATTCTACGCCCATTTCTAAGAGACTGTCGCCATCTCACTAGGAGAAAAAAGTGCTTATGATAGTGTCCAATAGTGTATTACGTGCACACTTAGTATAACAAGTAACTGTTACAGATAGAGATTCAAGGATTATAGATGTAAGTCATTGACCTGAGAGCAATGATGATTTTAGAAATAATGGCTCAAAACTGATCTAATGTCAAAGCTGATCTACTGTCGTCATGGTGACAAAGGGACTCGACCGAGCCA